GTGTGGGGTCGGGGTGGAGAGGTGACACGTGGGTGGCGGTGAGAAATCTGGTTGTGGCTGAGGTGTGGTCTTGGGAAAGATCTAGGTTCAAATCCCAGCTCTGTTGCTTTCTAGTTGTGTGACTTTGGATAAATGACTCTACTGCACCTGAGTTTCCTGCAAAATGGCCAGAGCACGTTACAAGACTGTTGGGCCGGTACAAATGAGCTCATAAAGGGAAGACTCCAGCTTGGTGCCTGGCTTGTGGTGGATACTTGAGCTAGTCACCCCAGCCCCTATGCTTTTCCCTGGTGACTGAAGCTGTAGGACTTCGGGATAGGGTCGGTGACCTTTTCCTAGCTTCGTGACTATATAGTGTAAGGACTGGATGCGGAATATGTCTGGAGTGACAGCTGTGGCCTGTGGGTTTGCTGAGACCCTTCGTTTTGCAGCCAAAATCCTTGAAGCAGGGCGGGGAGGACAACTCCAGCCTCAAGTTAGGAGACCTAGGTTCGAAGTCCAGCTCTGCTTGCCAAGTGCTTGGGTGACCTTGGCAAAGTCCCTTGTCTTTTAATCTGTCTGCTGGGTTATAAAATGAGACCGTTGGGCTCAGTGACCTCGGATACCTTCTGTTGGCAGGTGTTAGTTCCTTTGGAACAAAACGGCGCCTACCCCCTCTTCTGTGGGTAATCTGGGAAGGCATTCAGCATCTCAACCCCCAGGCACCAACCCCAGGTGCCCACCAGCCCTGGGGCAAGCAGGGTCTGTGGAACCCAGGTCCACTGACCTATTTCTGTTGTGGTCTGTGAGAAAGGAGACCTGAGGGCCCAGAGAGGGTGCCTGTGTAAACACACGATCCGCAGGCAGGGATGGGGGTGAGTGGAGAATAGATGGGTAGCTCAGCTGGGAGCAGGATGGGGTCCTCTCTGGTCAAGGCAGGGTCTGGCTGCTAGTGGCCTCCTTCTTCAGATGCACCCCAGACTGAATGGCCCTTGTCTGCAAAGCAGGTGAGGCAAGGGAGGGCTGTTGGCACGCCCATACACACAAAGGGATGCTTGCCCGTGTTGCTTGCCCATTGCTGACCTAGTCTTAAAGGGTTCCCATGTGGGAATGGCCCTCTTGTCAGGAGTCATGGGCGGAGAGGAACAGAGAGGGTGCTTCTGGAGTGGAAGAAAGATCTGCTTTCCCGTGCCCTCCCATGGGTACGCCCCACAAAGCTTCTTCCAGGCCCTGGGACTTGCTGGAGGAAGGCACGTGGGCCCCTCTAATGCAGCCTTGAGAGCCCCGGGATGGGTGTCTGACTGGGTCTACTCCTGGCCGTGCCGCTGACCCCTGGCGCGACATTAGCCAAGCTGGTTATCCTCCCCAGGAACCTGGTATGGAAAGGAAGGGGGAGGGAATCACCAGGTGACCCCTAGGAGGGCTGAACTGCCAGTGAATCTGGGTTTCATCTTTGGTTTTGAGACCACCATACCTGCCTCCTCTCTTCCCCTCCATCTGGCTAATGAAAAACTGAGCTAGTAACTGTCAGCCAATCAGCATGCTGATCCCGCTGGTTATTTTGAAACACCCCTTAACACTTTCACATAGTAAAAGAAGGGCAGGATGTGTAAACAACATTCCAGGGCTTTGGGGAATAAGAATCCTGTGGGGAGGGTCTCCCACCTGAAACTGCCCACGGTTGGGACCCCAGCCCTTGTCTTGAGGATTTGGAGCTGTGACTCCCACCGGAGTCTCCAGGCCAGGTCGACAAGGGGCCAAAATACCTTTTTCCTCTGCTGGGCTGGATTTGACCTCCACTTGACAGGGCTCCCTCCTAGCTTGGGTGGCTGGGCACTCTGTGTACATGCGTGTTCATTCGCGTGTGGCTAAAGGCTCGAGTGACCCATGCCTGGGTTCTGGTCCAGTGTGGCCACTTTCTGCCGATGTGACCTTGGGCAAGCCACTTAACCTTTCTGAGGCCCCAGTTCCAGTTCTGCCCACTTCTGCACAAGATCTATCAGGAGAACGTACTTCATTTGCTAAGGGCTCAAGAGGTCCTGCTCTTTCAGATTTGGGGCCTGGGGGAATTCGCGGCAGGAGATGGGGGTAGGAGCACAGGGACCTCGCCCTAGGGGACAGTTTCGCAACCACCACGGAGGAGCCTTCCTCCCAAGCTGCCAGACCGAAGCCACAGGCACGGGGCTGTGTGCGGGGGCTGGAATTCCAACACCAGCAGCTCAGCAGCTCCTGATTCCCAAGTCATGAAGTCATCCCCAGCCAGGGCTTAACCCCTCTGGCTCCCCACCCCCATGTGTGCCCAGTGTTCAGCAAAGATTCTCCCATCCGGTGGAAGAGGGCTGTGTGCCCACAGCCTTCCCCCCTGGCCTGACCCTCCTCCCTTCCGGGAATCCAGCATCTGCCCTCTAGGGGGTGGAAGAGGGCATGACAGTCAGGTCCTGCCCACCTCTCCCGGGAAGCCAGTGGAGGAAGTACAGAGCCTGGGCCTCTCCTGCAATGCTTACCTGGTCTTAGGAACAGCTATTCCTCCTCAGGCTCCCCCCCCTTCCCCCGGTGTCACTGGCAGTCTCAGCTGGGTGAAGGATAGCCTGGGGCAGTCAAAAAGACACCGGGCCTCTCCACTCTGAGTTGTCTGGCTGACTCAGTTATGTGACCTTAGGCAAGTCACTGCTTTGTCCAGAGCTCAGATTCTCTCAGATTCTGTGAAATGAGAGCATGGGACCTCCCCGGCCTCTGTAACTGGTATTCTGGTGGTTCTGAGCAGAGCCCCTATCTCCTACAGTTAGGGGCTCTGGGAAAGAAGAGGAGAATGTTTAGAGGAGGGGTGTGTATTGAACTTCATTGAAACCCTAACTCTTTGGGCAAATAGTAGGCACTTTAGTATTTGAGTTAATCAGCGGGGGAAAGAAATGAACTTTGCTCAGGGCTGTTGTCCTTTGGGAAGCCTCAGCCCCAGAACTAAGAGGAAGGTGGTAACCATTCTGAATGTTTCCTACCCTTGTGAGCTCTGGGGGATGGGAACAGAGTAGCTGATGTACTTACAGGACCTTGGGGAAGTTTTTGCCTCCCTGGACCTTGATACTTTCCCTTTGAAAGCTTCTTGGTGGAAGTGGGGTTTAAGATTCTGCTGTGATGTGACGGGCTGGGTCCCCGCGTGGTAGGGGCCGAGGACATTTGTGGGTGCTGGAGTGGATGGTCCTTCCACAGGATGCCTCTCTGTGCCCTCCCCTGTGCTGGTACAGAACAGATCTATGGGAGATGCTGGAAAGCTGAGTACAAGAGTGTGCTTACGTACTTGTGAGTCACCAGGTCTGCACAGTGCCTGGCCTGAGGCTGCCCTGGGGCGTGGGTGAGCCAGCCCTGATTGCCCCAGCCCAGTCTGAGTCAGCTGGGAAAGGTGTCCTGGACTGGGCAAGACCGGTGCCAGCAGCCCTCTCCCTGCCTCGGGTGAATCAGCTGTGACTGCATTTGCATCCTAGAACCCTGGAGCGTCACACCCTCAAGCCTGTGTGGTTCTGCATTCAGGCAGCTCGATGCTGAATCCTCTCTCTCCGACCTACTTGTGCCAGAAGGAAATGCCCAGTTTCCTCTGTTGTAAAATGAGGTTAAAGACATGCCTTTGGTGTTAAGAACAGGGACTTACACATACTATTTGCTTAGTCAATGGTACCTAGTAATATTTAATGTTCTGATTATTACCAACTTTATGATTTTTATTAGCCCAGGATGGGAAAGAGATTTGCCTAAGGTCACACAGCAAGTTAGGGACCAGGAGGGGTGATCTCCAGGTTCTGGCCTGATTACCTTCCAGCACCCCAGGTTATCTTACTGAATGCCCACTTCACTGCCTTTTGGGGGTCGGGGGCTGCTGTAGAGCACCCAGGGGGCTACCAATGTGGCTGACGTGACTCCCTTTTTCACCCTAGATCCGAGAGACCGAAGTCATCGACCCCCAAGACCTCCTAGAAGGCCGATACTTTTCTGGAGCCCTACCAGACGACGAGGATGTTGGGGGGCCTGGGCAGGAACCCGATGATTTTGAGCTCTCTGGCTCTGGAGATCTGGGTATGGAGGGTCTGGTGGGCAGGCCTGGGGTCATGGGGTTGGAGGGAAGGTGGCCTCACCGAGCGCAGGGGAGTGAGCTCGCCTTGAGACTTGGATTTGTGTGGGGGCTTTCCAACAGAGCTCTTCCCCTCTCGGAAGAGAGGAAACAAAAGTAACTATCAACCCTTTTCCATCCCTGACAACCCTCCTTGGGTGAGTTATTTGTTGCTTGGAGTTCCTTTGTAGCTCTAGGTTTTCTGAGCACCAGCCTGGACCTGTCTGCCTGTGGCTGGGGACCTAGTGGGGGTGGGGCTGGAAAGAACTGATAGTGTTTTCTTCTTATGAAAAGGAAAAGGAGCAGCTCAAAAGCCTGGGAGCATGTGTGGGCAGAGGTGTGGGTGGGGGCCCAGGAACAAGCTCCTGCTTCAGAGGGGGGCGTGGGTGAAGGGGCCCAGGCCTCGGGTGGCTGGACTGGGCAGGGGGGGGGAGGGCAGGGCTGTTCATGGTCTTCTGTGACTCCCTGGCTCAGGCTGCAGCACAGAAGCATCCCTCCTCCGTACGGAGTGCTGTGATGATCTCTGTGACCTCTGAGCCTTGGTTTCCAAATCTGTAAAATAGTAAATCAGTGTGTTGGGGATTGGACTGAGTTAAAGCTCTCTTGGCACATATACGGAGCACTCAGGATATATTTTAATGTTGCAATTTCTAATATTTAATATTACAATCTAGAGTCTTCTCAAAGGAATCCCCTGGGGATCTTACGAAACTGCAGACTGATTCAGTGGGCCCAGAAATTCTGCATTTCTAACCGGCACCCAGGGGATGCTTTTGGTCCCTGGATCCAAAATTATGGAGCAGGGGTTTGGAGCTGACAAAGCATCTGCTCAGCTACCTGCTGAGCATTCTTGTGAAAGAACCAGAGAGCCCAGTCTTTGGAGCCCCATTTTACAGATGAGGTGACTGAAGCTGGGGTGGGAATGGTCACTTCCTGTACGTTGAGCATTTGAGGGCTGGTTGTACGTTAGGACTCCCCCTAGCCATGGCTGAAGAAGGGGGAGGTCCTTTATCTAAGGGGAAGTGACCTCACACTCAGCCTTTCTGACCTTCCAGATGGCTCAGAGGACCCCCAGATCTTCCCCGAAGTAATTCAACCCCTGGTGAGTGATTACATGCTTTTGCCCCTCCCCCCTTGCTCCTCTCTAACACCTGTTGAGAAGGGCCCATAAGTGAGGGTCTGACCTCTCTCTGCAAGAAAGCTTTTATTCAGGGCTCTGGCTCCCTGGGGGCAGGCACAGCTGTGGGTCATGGGTAGGCCGTCCTCCCTGCAGGGGATAATCACTGTCAGCACTTAGATGTGTTTCCAGCCCCTTTTCTGTGCATTTCTAGGTATTTCCCAACGTTAATATCAAGTTGTATATACAGTTTTGTGTATATAAAGTGGTCAGGAGTTTGAGTTTATTTCCTCCCATAATTAAATGTACTTCCTATTCATTTTTATAGGCTGCATCATCATAGTTCACTGCTTTTCCCTTTTTGATGGAAATGTTCCGGATTTTCTGATTTTCTAAAATTATAACACTACAGCAAGCTTCTTTCACTCAAATCTCTGATTAGCTCCTTGGGACAGGGTCCCAAGCAATTTCTGCAGCTCTGCCACACTGCCCTCCGGGGTGGTGATTCTCGAATACCCACTGACCAGCAGTGAGTGGGACCACGTGCTTCCCTGCGCCCTTGGTCACATTACTCATTCCCCATTTGGGGCAGACCTGGAAAGGTGGAGGGTGAGCCTTCGATGGCATCGTTGTTGAGAGTTTGGTGCTGCTTTCTGTCCCAGGACCCCCTGGTTCAGCCAGCAAGATGGCAAAAGCAGACTCGCTCCCTGGCTGAATGCTTCTGTCCCCTGCCCCAGGCTCGTCCCCAGACCACGCTGAGTGTTTGTCTCTCCTCCTCCCACCCCATGCAGGTGCCTCTCGATAACTTTATTCCTGAGAGGGCAGGGCCTGGGAGTTGGGTCCCCACCGAACCTAAGGAATTGGAGGAGAATGAGGTCATCCCAAAAAGGATCTCACCCTTTGAAGGGGACGAGGACCTGTCCAACAAGGTGTCCATGTCCAGCACCGCGCAGGGCAGCAGCATCTTTGAGAGGACAGAGGTTCTGGCAGGTAAGCTCCTCACCAGAGACTTAGAAGGGGGAGAGGACTCAGAGGGAGATAGTGCTGCAGACACGGATGCCTGGGGCCCCCGGGTACCCTGGAGACTCGAGGATATCAAAGGCTTCTAAAGAACAGCCGGAGAGTCAGTCACTTGCCTTAAGTCCTTCTGTCTTGTTTTAAAAACATTTGCACAGCCTAGGGTTGGTACCTGGGGAGTTAATTATTAAACGTTCACTTCCCATGAAGGCCCATTGGGCTGGCTCCCCATCCCCCTGCTCTGTCACTTGACAGCCTTGTGACCTTGGCTGAGAAGCTTTCCAGCCCCAGTGGGGAGGTGAGCCTCAGTTTCCTCCTCTGTAAATGGGTACAATGCTACCCCTTGGGTTGGTATCATAACTCCATGCAAATTAGAATCTGAAGTAATTTGGCCAACTGGAAAGCGCTTTTCTGATTGGTGGGTGTAATCTGTCATTGAGTCTTCACTGACTTTTCATACTTGGTGGCATACCGGGATCCTTCATAGGACAGATTAAGACACAGAGGCCTTGGAGAGGGGAGGTTCAGGGTTTGGCCTGACGTGAGAGCCGCAGGGTTCTTGACTGTGGTGTGCTATTGTGGAAGCTCTGTCCCAGGGTGGGGCTTCGGGTGTGGCCTTCATCGGGGTGGGGACGGCTCCCGCTCTCCTTCCCTGGCAGCTTGGGGATCTCCAAAGCTCGCGGGGGCGGGTTGTCAGAGGGAACTCTCTCTCTGGCCAAGTTTTATAGGCCAAGGGCCTGTCTGCATGAACCAGCCCGGTGAGTGACTGCCCTGGACCCAGGCTCAGTTACTCCTGTCTCCTGGCAGCCAGCCGGGCCAGCACCGCCTAGGAGGCCTGAGGTACAAGGAAAGAGCCCTGTTCCCTGCATTTTGCAGATAAGGCTCCCTGGGAATATAACCCCAGGTGACGTTGGGCCCAGCTCAGCCCTGACCCTGGCCTCCTGATACTGGAGCCAATGTTCTTTCTCCTTTACCTTCGCTACTTGCTGAGCAATGTAAAGAGGGGTAGGGGATGCTTTTGGAACCAGAGGGGCCCTTAGAGGCCTTTTAGTCTTCTAAGCTTCGAAATATTTGGTAAAAACCTCCCCCCTCTTTTTCAACCACAGAGTTTCACTTTTAGCTGGCATATGTGGGATCAGCATAAGGTTTTGCTTTCACCAACTAAGGATTTTGTTGCTTTTAAAGAAAAGTGCAAAACCACTGATCTAGTCCAACCAAGTGTGTCTTATAAATGGGGAGACTGAGGCCCAGAGAAAGCAAACCACTTGTTTGGGTCACATAGCGAAAGACAGAACCAAAGCCAGGTCATCTCTTAAATCTTCCGGTTGAGAATGAGACAAACATAAGATCTTCATGTGAGAAGTTCTGCTGTTGCGTTCGTTGGGGTGGGAACCTCCATTCCAGTAGCATCTCTGCACCTGGAAATTTCTCAAGTGCTTGCTAGAAGCCATCTGATCCATGTGCCCCCCTCACTGAGCCTCCACAACTGGACAGGTATGGTTGGCTATCTGTACTCTTAACAAATAAGGAACCTGAGGCTTAAGAGAAGCCAAATTACTTGTCCAAAGTCACAAAACTAGGCACTGGTAGCCCCGGCATGTGAACCTACGACCACAGTCACTTTTTTTTTTTTTTTTAATTTTTTTAAATTTTATTTATTTTTGAGAGAGAGAGCATGAGAGGGGGGAGGGTCAGAGGGAGAAGCAGACTCCCCGCTGAGCAGGGAGCCCGAGGCGGGACTCGATCCCGGGACTCCAGGATCATGACCTGAGCCGAAGGCAGTCGCTCAACCGACTGAGCCACCCAGGCGCCCGACCACAGTCACTTTTGAGACTGCCCTTGAACCTTAGCCTAGTGCAGAGTCCCAGCGCTGACCAAGGTCCTGATAAGAGGCGCCCGGGGTTACCAGAGGGGAAAGGTGATAAAAACAGTCATGGAGCTGGGATACCTCATTCCATGTGCTTTTTCTGTATTTCCTGGGGTCATTTTGTTGCTGCTTTCTCAGAGTTTTAGCCAAGAAAGAACCTTACCGGGCTCCTCTGTTCCGTTCTGCCCCCATTCTGTGCATAGATTGGGAGTGTGTGCAGGGATGGAAAATTAATCTCCTTAGCCCTAGAAGACCGAATTAGGGGACTCAATCTGCCACAGCAAGGATTCTGTGGGGTATCCCTGCCCCCTCAGCAAACAGGATAGAGCCCTTCAGGCGGCCTGGCAAACTGCAAAACAGCTGTTCACCTGAGGTTAGCAGCCTGCATCTGCCTGATGCCAGTAGGCAGCCTTGGCCGGTGCTCCTCTCTGAGCTGAATTGGGAGAGTCATTTCATAAGCACTTCACTGTTGTGCCAGGGTCCAATTCAGGGTGCTAGGGACACACATACAAACTACCAAGGTTTACAAGTAGTGAGTACTGAGCCTCTGCCGTGCATTGTTCTAAGCACTTTCGGTGGGTTAATTTATTTAATCCTTAGGACTGATGTGTGAGAAAGGTCCTCCGATTTCCGTTTTGCAATGAGAGAGATGAAGGAACTTGCCCGATCACACAGCCAGCGATGAGTAATGGGAGTGGGTTGCAGGCCTTAGCACACACCGAGCTGCACACGTAGGAGGGGGGAAACCACAGTGTGTCATTGTCTGTGACACAGCAGCACGGCCATGTCCACGTGTCCAAGCTGTGTTTGGTAGCGTGCACCTGTGTGTATGGAGAACGTGTATACCCGTCTGTGTAGGTGTGTGCACTCACGAGAGTGCCAGGAGTCTGTCTGGGCAGATCGTCGCAGCTTGCGGGTCTGCTAGCTCCTGGCGCAGTTAGTGCTAAGCTGTCGCTGGGGTGTGTGCTTGGCTGTGGGCTCCAGCAGGTGCGGGTTGGAATGGTGGCTTTGCCGCCCTAGCTCTGTGGTCTCCAGTGACTTACGGCGACCCCCTGCTGTCTTGTGAATGAGGTCATGCCGAGCACAAGCAACAGCAAGGGGGAGCATGTCTATAGTTGTGAGAGCTGACTGCGGGGAAGTGGCAGTGTACCCGAGGTCCTGACCCACAGCTCTCCCCATTCTTCCCCTGCAGCTCTGATCGTGGGCGGCGGCGTGGGCATTCTCTTTGCTGTTTTCCTGGTCCTGCTGCTGGTGTACCGCATGAAGAAGAAGGATGAAGGCACCTATGACCTGGGCAAGAAACCCATCTACAAGAAAGCCCCTACCAACGAGTTCTATGCCTGAAGCGCCCGCCTGGCCACCGGCTTGGACCTCCGTGGGGAAGGAAGCCGAAGGATTTGGGAGGGTGGACGTTAGGGTAGGGGGAGGGCAACCTAATACTGACCTGTCCGCATCTCCAGCTCTGATTATGTTTCAAGCGTCAGAAGAGACATCATCTTCTGTTCCTGCCTGCCTCTTCTCGATTCTCTGCCTCGGTTGTCCCGGCAGAAAAATAGGGTTACACTTGGCCTTGCTAAAGGCAGGTCTGGGATTGGATCATTTCTTAATCTTACACTTAAAATGTGGGCCCAGCTTACACCCTGTCCTGAACATGCCTCACCCAGAGCCCCTCTGAAGCTGGGAGAGGAGTCCTGCTGGGGCTCTGCCCCCAGTGGGCCTTCTCCCTCCCTCTTGTGAAAAGGAGCCAGGAGAAGGAACTAGAACCATCTGTACCTTGAGATGTGTCCGTCAAAGGGCACTTGTGATCACACTACAGGAGTCTGTGGTATACCTTGGGCCATTCTCGGCTCTTTCAAGTGACTTTCTGGAAATCAACCTTTTTTATTTGGGGGAGGGGATGGGGAAGGAGGGAGGGTGGGAAGAAGAACTGAAAGTTCATACTGAAATGGATTTGCAGAGTATTTGCAAATCTATCTTAAGTGGGGTATTTTTTTCCGAATGGTTCAGTCCTTGGTGCAGAGCCTGTGCCTGGGCAAGAGTGTGCCGGTGCTGAGATGTCCTCCACTCTTGCACTTTCTGCAGGGCCTGCGAAGTTTGTATTTAATGGTTTTTTTTTTTTTTAATTTTTGTTTTTTGAAAATGAGAGAAGAGACGGAGACATGATTTTTATTATTATTATTATTATTTTTTACTATTTATAGCTTCAGACAGGGCCCTCTTCCTCTTTTTCTTTAAATATCCCCCCATTTTTTTTTTTTTTAATACTTAACACTCCCCCAGCTCATGACCTTGGCCCTTGCTGAAGCTGCTTCCTCTAAGAAGTAGCTTTTGCTGAAACTTTTCTAGCAGATCCCAAAATATAATGTTAAGGGATGGTGGGAATATTTGTGTCTCTTCTTGTAATATATTATTATTCTTCCTTGGTTCTAGAAAAATAGATAAATATATTTTTTTCAGGAAATAGTGTGGTATGTCCCATTTGAAGTTGGCTGGATGGTTGAGTGAGTGGGTTTTTGTTTGGCTGAGTGGGTTTTTGCCACTCTCTCTCTCTCTTCTCTCTCTTCTCTCTCTGTTCCTGGTGCCTTCTCCCGATTGGGCTGGAGTAGTTGAGGGTAGACAGTTCTACCTTCTTTCTAGCTTCTGCTTTGAGCCCAACCGGTGTTCCTTTGTTTGCTCTCTCCAAATTTATGAGAAAATTGGAGAGCTGTGCTATCCGCTGTGGTGGCCACCGGCCACATGTGGCTCTTCAAATACGTGAAAATCACCCAAAGTTAAAAATTCATTCCTCATTTACACTAACCGCATTTCATGTGCTCATTTGCCACGTATGGTTCGTGGCTGCTATAGTGAACACGCAGGTAGGGACCATGTCAGCCTGTTCAACCGCAGTGCTAGAGAACTAAACTGGCTTAACACGTCCCAGCCCCAGCCTTGCGGGGTTGACCTTGGTCTCCCTGGGCAAAGGGGGGTGGAGGTGGGGGAGGACTGACGGGGCCCTGGCTCTGGATCTTGTTATTGGTGACTGCCCCCCCCCCCCAAAGAAGAGGCCTGGTGGCTTAGCCTGGGCAGGCTGCATCTTCTCCTGACCCCACTGGCTGGGGTACGGGGGGAGTCACGCTTGCCTCCTGCACCCTTCACCCTTCACCGCCACAACCCAGGGTCCCAGCTGGCTGGGTCCTCTGCACTGCCCTCCCCACCAACCCCTCTGGTTTCCCTCTGGCTATGTTGGGAGTGAGCACCTCTTGGAGCCACCTCACACTGTTGTCTGTTACTTAATTTTTTTTTTTATAAGAATAAAATCTGGTACTTTCTAGATTGCTGTGTCTGTCATTTTTTTTTTTCCTGTCATTTTAAAGTTTGTAAGAAGTCATCCTTTCTGGGTTCTGTATCCCTTGATAGCAGCAGAGACGTAAGAAGCCAAGAAAGGGCCTGGAGAAGAGGAGAGTCAGAAAGTGCACATGGCGGCCTGTGGGCTCGTTGTGCCTGCCTTGGTGTTCTGTTGAGAAGGCACCTTGTTTCAAAAGCAAACACAAAAATTCCTTGGATTAGGTACCAACTATAGAAATGAGGATGTTCCCCATATAAGTCCAGATTCCCCACTTCTCTGGGGAAAAACTCAAGATCTGGCCCCTCTCCAGCCTCTTGGCCCCGTTTGGAAGTCGCCCACAGGCAGGATCCTGTCTTAGACGTGGGTTCTCTGCCTTGCCAGTCTCTGTCCACCTGCTATCGCTCATGTCGCCCACTTGGCCTCTGCAGACCCCATTGATGCCTGTCTTGATCCTGGTAAGAGCATTTTTACCAAGGCGGAAGCCTGCCCTTACTTGTCTGCAGAGTTAAGCCTTAATTCCGGGCCTTGGGCTTTGGGGGTCTAACCTTGGTACCATGTTGCCCAGTGCTTGGCTGGGGTCGGGAAGGATACAGCGGGACCGGCAGTAGAAGCAAACCCTCATGTCACACGCGTGTGCCAGAACCCATTCTAGGCTTCAACATGGGAACCCACTTCATCGGCACAAAGTAGGTACTGTTAGTGTCCCCATTATACAGATGGGGACCTGCCGCTGAGAGGTTACAGGACTTGTCCAAAGTGACCCAACTTAGCAACGGTTGATTTGAACCCAGGCATTTGGGCTCTGGAGGCTGCCCACAACCACACTGCCCATCAGAGGGTTTATGTGGCCCGAGGTCCCTCCATTGGAGGCTGCTCGGACCCGCTAACCCCCTCTGAAGCAGCGAGTCTGGTCTCAGGTCCCTGCCGATGTCCCCACTACGCCTGGTTTTCCTGAGTCCCGTGAGGCTTGGGTGGATCTCTGTTCCTCATAACTTGGTTCTCACAGAAGTTTCTCACATCTGCTAGACCTGTGCTGTCCAGTACAGTAGCTGTTGGCCAAGTGGCTATTGCAGTTCAAATTAATTTTTTAAAAAGGAAAAACTCAGTTCCTCAGTTGTACTAGCCACATCTCAAGTGATCAACAGCTGCAGCTGCAGCTACCCTGGGTCATGCGGACGGAAGCAGAACATTTCCACTGCCTCAGAAATTTTGGTCAGGTCTATGTCGGGTGATGTGAGACGGTGGCTCGGGGCCTCTGGACTTGGACTTCAGTTTTTTACCAGCCGTTCCCTTGTGCGCCAATGGCTTGCAGGGGGGAAGTTCAGAGCCCGCTGTGCAGAAGTGCTCAACAAAAGGCACTTTATTCTCATCATCAGCGCCATCTTTTGGGTGAGGTATTAGCTCCCGCAGGCCCCTCTATTGCCTGTTGCTGTGCAAAATTACCCCAAATGTAGGGGCTTAGGACCACTGTCTCACAGAGTTTCTGCAGATCAAGGAATGTGGGAGCTGCTGAGCTAGGGGGTTGTGGGGTCTCATAACATTGTAGTCAGAATGTTGACCAGGGCTGCAGTCGTCTGGAAGCTTGACTGGGCTTGGAGGACCCACTTCCAAGGTGGCTGGCAAGTTGGTGCTGGCTGTTGACAGGAGGCCCCAGTTCCTTGCCATGTGGACCCTCAGGGCCGATTGTGTGTCCTCATGACATAGCGGCTGGCTTTTCCCAGAGAGTGATCCAAGGGAGCCAGGTGGAAAGTATAATGCCTTTTACAGCCAAACCTCAGGTCACACACTGTCACTTCCACGAAGTATCCTATTGGTCACATAGGTCAGCCCTATTCATTGTGAAAGGAGTCTACACGAGGGCAGGAATGCCTTCAGGAGACAAGACCCCTTAGAAGCCATCTTAAAGACTGGTTACCATATAGCCTGGCTGCTGGTCAACTCTGGACGGGGCTTAATTTCCCTAGGGCGCTAATTCTGAGGGCAACTTGGGATGATATTATTTCTGAGAATTGGGCACAGGATGCAAAGTTGATTTTAGACAATATTGAGCCATTTTGTTCATGATCTTGCCATTTTCCTGAAGTAGGAGAAGCATGGACCCCTGTATGGGGCAATTCCTTCATGGGGCATGGGGAGGCCTATGGGCCAAATAGATTCCCCCTTGCCAGGAATTTGATAAGTAGTTTTGGGGGGTGGGAGAGTCAGAATTCTAAGGTGGCCCCCAAGAATTCTTCCCCCTGTTGTAGACACCTGTATATTCCTTTCCCTTGAACGTGGGCAGGACCTGTGAACATGATGGATGCCACTTCTATGATGAGGTTACATCAGATAGGAAAGGCGAAGGGGTTTTGCAGAGGTAATCGAGGTCCCAAATTAGTTGATTTTTGAGTTAGTAAAAAGGGAGATTACCCTGGGTGGGCCAAGCTTAATCATTTGAAAGCACGAATAAGAGGGTCTGGAACCTTCCCGGTAAGAGAGATGCTCTCCTGTTGGCCTTGATGAAGCAAGCTTCCAATGAATTCTATAGCTACAAGGACATGAATTTTGCCAACAACTGTGAGCTTGGAATAGGCAGACAGACTGCCCTGTCAGTCCTGGCTCGCACCTTGACTATGGTCTTGGGAGACCCTTAGCAGAAGACCCAGCTAAGCTGTGCTTGGACTCCCAATCCATGGAAACTGTGGGACAATAAACAGGTGTTATTTTAACCTGCTACGTTTCTGGTAGTTTGTTACACAGCGAAGAAAACTAACACAGGAAGGTCACTTGCCTCCTCTGGACCACCACTTTCCCCATCTGTGAAATGGGGTTGCGGGGGGGAGCGCAATGTCTGGATCACCTCTAAACGTACTTCTGGAATAATGACAATGACAGCAAGGGTCTCTTATAAAGTGGTGACAGTGGGCCAGGCCCTGTTGAAAGTGTTTTACATATATTGGTTATTTTCTTCCTCGTGACGTCTTGTGAAACAAATACTACCCTTTTTACAGAAGGGGGTACTGAGGCATAGAGAGGTTAAGTGACTTGAACTTGCCAAACCTGCCCAGCTTCAACGTACGACTTTGCCTCCAAGATGGCTGTTGTCTGAAAAGCCACCATTTGCTCTGTGTTCCTTGGTTTTAAGGTGATCCCTCTGAAAATACATACGAGTGATTAGTGTGAGGAGAAGGGGATCA